GGCGACGATATCGAGTTCTTAGGTTTTCACGATTGTTACACATAGGAAATTAAACTATTATTGAATTAAGTTAATAAATATTATTAATATTAGACATGACCGGTTGATGAAAGAAAAAAGAAAACTGCTTATTACACAAACACGGACACGCATATAAACAAAACAACAGAGGAACTAATAATAACAATTCAAAATTACTCTTTTTGGCCCTCGGAGAAGCGAGAGTCTAAAATAAATAATGCTATAATAATAAAAGTATTAACAAAATAAATAAAAATAATTGATTCTGATTACTGAATTAAAACAATTGATAATGCAGTATCTAAGTCACCGTCATGCGTGTCGCGACTGGTGCAATCGGGACTTGTTCAGCTTTAGCCACAAAAGGCTTTTTCTTACCGTTTCGTGGCGCTGATTTTCAGCAAACCCGGGCGAATGGGACACTGACAACAATACAGAACTCAACCATAAATAAATAAACAGATAAGATCATGATGACTGTATCACATCAATCAACCGTGCCCTTCGGACCTGTAAAAGGCCCGAAACGTTGGTTTGTTTGAAAAAATTTAAATCCGGAAAAATAGTTTCATTTCCTAAGTGCCTAACAGTTGCAGTGTCCCTCAAAGCTTTAAATCGCAGAGGTATGAGGTGCACTGTCACTGCGCCCAACACCGGGCGCGTTCCCATTATGTCGTAACGTTTTATTTATCATTGGACGACTGTCGCGTCTAGCTTCCCAGGATTATCTGTCGTGACCGTGTCGTGCATGTTTATTTTATCGTTGAACGACTGTCGTGAGTAGCTGTTCCCACTACATCGTAATGATAATTTATCGGTTCACGGCAGCCGCCTTGTCGTTTGCACGACAGAATCGTTTGCAGCTGCGATTATCTGTCGTCACATTTTTATCGTGACGTCTTGTTTATCGTCGAACGACTGTGGTTCTAGCTCTTCCCATTGTCACTACAGTCTGTCGTCGTAATGTCAAAAAAGTCGTGAACGACAGTTAATCGTGTTGTTCTATGTGTGAACATCTTCATTTAAATATACAAGCCATGACACTTTAAACTGCACGACTATCTGTCGTCGCCACATAATGGGAACGCGCTCTGAGACGTAAGTTGACAAGTCTCATGTGCCTGTAATTTCACCAGCTCCCTTACTATTTTTATTTGTATTGTGACTGTTGCCAACATAGTTTGATTGCACAGCTTAACAATCTGTACACTAATATACATAATTGAATAAAGACGTTGCAAAGTACGGTTTTATTACAAAACAGTGTATATATGTACAGTACGAATTATTGTGTCTGGTGCAGGTTCTAGCCGAGTTCAACGAACATCACGAACTAGCATTCCGCGTAGGTCTATTCGCGTTAGAGATGGCGCGGCCACCAGCCAGCACTAAAGCCTTGGAGGTGAAACTGAACAACCAAGAAACAGAGCTGGTGGCGTTGCTGAAGAGACTGCCCACTGGTGCTGAACAATTGGCCTTAGCTCGGGAAAAGGCTCAACAACTATGCGATGGAACTTTGCGGTAAGTTTCAACGTATTTTACTGTAAATACAGATGTAATTTCTTGCACACTACCTCTTTCTAACAAAAAGCCTTAATGCTTATCGTGATTCGTGTTGGATAACAGGAAGAGTTTTTGTTTATAAAAGGCGTAAATAGGCACTTTACCATTTACTATTAGGCGGCCAGTCTATGGCAATTTGTGTACTGCACAAAGCACAATAACTACTCTTGTAATCCTTTTGAAATATTTACATTTTGTCACTTTTATAGGAACCGAGGTCCAGCTCTGCTACCAATGGCTTTAGCAAGCTTCCTGTTCGATGTCCTAGTTTTGTCAGCTACAGATAAACATCCTGTAAGTATCGAGGTACAATTCGGACCTATTAGAGATTATTAGATAAATATTTAAAATTGTTCAATTGGACCAATTTAGAGTATCTATCTAGAAAGAAAGCGCCTGGTTTACTATCCATTTGAATGACTAGAAGAGGTAATCATATACCGCACACTGCGCTAAATTCACTCCAGATAATATCACGCCTAAAAATGCCTGAAGTTAACAACAAGCAGCCTTTAACGGTGACTTGCATTTCTGCAGGCAAGATTGCCTTCAGATGAAAGTCTCGGTTTCGAAGCAGCCACCGCAGCGTTAGGGCTCAAAGCGAACGTCTCTGAAGCGGAACACCCACTGCTGTGTGAAGGCACCAGGCGCCAACGCGGCGAGTTAGCGCTGACCCTGCTCTCATTTTACAAAGACGATCCAGTCAAACTGGCTAAAATTATGAACAAGGTAAGACCCTTTTTAATCGATAGGAATAGGTGCTACGATTTTAATGTGAATTTCATTATATGATATCTGGTAACCATCTGTGATACTTTATAATCGGTTATAATTGAGTTTTATGCTATCGACAACAGGAGATGTGAGTATGTGAAATGAATAAAGTAGAAAGTTCGGGGCGAGTGATCGCCCTGGGGTATGAGCGTCATTGTGTCCTGTGATAAAGTAGTCTGTGTGTGTAGTTACTGGACCGTGACATCCACCAGCTCACGTCGGGCCCGATGGTGAGCATGTACTACAACACCAACCCGCGGCTGGCCAACTACCGCGCCGACCAGGCGCTGCAAGCGCATGCGCACGCGCAGCACGTCCAGCACGCGCCACACGTGCAGCACGTGCAGCACGCGCAACACGCGCAACACGCGCCGCACCCCATGCACGCACCACATCCGCAGCATCCGCAGCACGCCCCTCCGCCGCAGCCGCCGGTCAGTATCGATCTCGCTCTCCACCTTCTACGACCAACTTTTTTAAATGATTATTCAATAAACTTGATGTGTAATGTTCAGGGCCCGTGCCCCCTAGTGGCGGACATGGAGCGATTGGCTATGGCCGAGGCAGGTCCGTCACCACCGCACCCAACGCCCATCGCCTCCATCACGAGGCCTAAAGACAGGTACTACTTCTACACATACACAACAGTACTATTATTCATTGTATAATAAATACACCGCCTACATGACTCGGAACATAGTGTAAACGAGTGACAGACAAAGGAAATTGTACTCTTAAATCAATTTAATTTTAAACCTCATGAATCTCTATATTAACTTGAGTGGCTGTTTTTGTAAGTGTGTTTCAAATATTTATAACAAAAATACTAACTGCTTTGTAGAACAGTGGCCTATCTGAAAAACACCTCATTCACCATAAAGACGGTTTAATAAAAAAAAACCGACAAATATTATCTACCGGCCTAATGATGTCACGTAAATAAACCAATAGAAGACTAAGGGTCGTATTCCAGAACTCTACTCAATGCTCAAGTCAGGATTTGAGTATTGCAGCGAGCACTGAAAATCATACTCAAGTCCTTGCCATTAGGGTCGTATTTCCAGTGCTTGTGTTTCCAGTGCAATCCTTACTTGAGTATGATTCAAAGCACTAGAAATCGTACTCAAGTCTTTGCCATTAGGGTCGTATTTTCAGTGCTTGAAATCATGCTCAAGTCTGCTCAAATCCTGACTTGAGCATTGAGTAGTGTTCTGGAATACGACCCTCAGTGTCTTATAAAAAAAAATAGTTTGAATACCTAATAATTTAAAAAATTGGACTGTTTTGATTTCTTCACTTCATTCTTGTAAAACAACCTAAGATTAGTTCTTGAAATATGTTTATCCTTGTAGAAAATTTCGAGTTCTTAGGTTTTCGCTATTGATATATATACGAAATGAAGCTATTTTGGTCACAGCTGACATTCAGTCATAACCATGTGACCTATAAAGGGCTCAAAGCATTAGTTTGTTTGAAAAATATACGTGATTTAGATCCGACAATGATAATAATAATAATAACGCACACAGTTTCTTTTAGAAAATTTCGCATTGTTGCAATCTATAGTTGTTTATACACGAACTCACAAACTTATTGTACTTGCCTATTTGCAATTAAAATGTCAAATTTTAGCTTACAGCTCGTTTCTCCTTTAGCAGGTACAAAGGCAAGCGCCTATACCCATCGGTGCCCAACCAACCGTCGGAAGCGTCTGCGCATTTCATGTTCGAACTAGCCAAGTCCGTCCTATTCAAGGCGGGAGGGACATCTAGCACCAGTCTGTTTACGCAAACAAGTTGTGCAAGGGAACATCATGGGCCTCACAGGTCAGTTTGTTTTTGTGGTGTTTTAAATTCAGTCCAGCATGGTGACCGTTCGGCCATGGAGGTACATATTATTTAGTAGAAAAAGTTTGTGTTTTGATTCGACAAGTTGAGATAATAACCGTGAACCCACTAGTTTTCAGTCATTCATAAATGATGTGATTTTTGTGTGCTCCCTTAACTTTAACCCTTTCATGAACAGTGTTAACGGTTACCGTATATTAGAATACGATATATAAAATAAACGACTCGGTCCATTTAAATTTATTGTATAATGAGGCAGAAGAAAAGGTAAACAAGGCGAAAAGGAAGAAGAGTTTCTACAAATATTAGATAGGTTACTTGATTTTAATAATATTAGATAGGTTACATGATTTTAATTGAAAACTGTTAAAACTGATCAGAATTCAGGTGAAGACGAGCAGGACTGCTCGCTTTAGACATTTAGAGAGTGACAACGGAACGAAGCAAAGTGATAATGACAAGGCAAAAGAATTGGAACAATTCAAAATTTTAAAATTAAGTGGCCAGGAATCAGAAAAAAAGGTAATAAAAAGGTGGGATGACGATAAAAGAGGTCGCATCGTTACAAGGGTACCCCGTTTCGCTTGTGGATCTCTAAAAACCAACTACAGTGTGATTTTCAAGTGCTTTCTATGTAGTTTCTGTTCCGTCTAATTACGTTACGGGTTTGAAGGCTATGGGTGCTGGTGAAATTACAGGCACATGTGACTTGTCAACTTACGTTTTCGGGTGGCGGGCACAGTGGCACTGCTACTCAGATCTTTGCAATTTAAAGCTCTGACCGGCACTGCAACTGCGTCACTTGGTACTGTTATAGGCGTTAGCTCGTGTTGCGTTGCGAGAGGTACTTTTAATAATATAAACTGGAATAATCCTTAAAAATATACTTTATTTCACTTTCTACATGCTTAGGGTTACAAATCAATAATCTTAATTGTCAAGATCTTCCATTCTTTTCTCTTAGCTCTTTTTCAAAGCATTCTAAATATGAATCTATTCACTCAGCCAGTGATTCTACTCATAGAGTACAGCCTAGTCTACATCCCTCTTCCTCACAGCTGAAGGGGTGAATATCCCTAGCTGGTGGTCTACCTATGATAGGCAACTTACATCGGTGATCAGCCTTTACTACAGGCTAGCCATACACTGCTCGGAAGCTATCAACTTACCAACAAGTAACCACCGAGGAGGCTATGGCTTTAGTCTGCCAAAAACCTATCTAAAAGAACAGACCATGACCACATCCTAAACAAACAAATCACGATATATATTTACTCGTTAGCTATCCTAGCTAATTAGGGAACCTGAGTAAACCCTAACACTTTATTTCATCGACCCTAAACCGGCTGAACGACCCTATCAAAGTTCTAAACATTGCTACAAAACTATTTCCCTAAACTCCCTCAACCTAAGCTATCTCCAACGTGCATGCTGCCACAACGACGACACAGGCTTGAACATCCATCGGACGATCACTGGGTTACATCACTATTGATCTCCCAGCTGCCTTAGTCCTCATTTTGCAGCTATCACGTTCCATCAGCTTCACTTACTATCTTTAACCAAACAAGAACCAACACACATATAACGCTAACAACATATCCTAACATACATATGGGATGGGGATATCCCATATGAAAGACGTCTAATTAATTAAATAAATATATTTTCCCCGAATGCAGACAGTTGTTGTTCATCTGGAAGAGTGAGCACGAACTATGCACATATACTGGATAATGTATCTATCAAATTAAAAAAGAAAAAAGAAAAATTAAGTTATATCTTTCTACGATATTCCATCATCATCCTCCCGTCATTCCAAGTCTGCATTTCCGGAAAATAATAAGGTCTCTTAAAATTTTTCACAATCTCATCGTGGTTCCACATGAAAAATAAATATAAAAGATTAATTAACTTAGTAGAAAACAAGAAAACATTAAATTATCTCCTAAAGAACTTTTTCATTCTACTCACATGCAGTAGATTCTATCTACCCTAACCTATTTCTATTTATACCTAATCTTCTCACCATACAATTAATTCTAGTCAACTGATATACTATCCTAAATTTCTCGTAACATACCTCTTAGATAACAAAGCAATCCTGTCTTTCTTATCAAATAATCGCTTCCGTTGGGATTGAATATTACCTACATATTCTTTACGTGGATCGATCGAAGTTGCCCGCTTTATCAATACACTCCGTAAATTCTCCACATTATTTACGCGAACACGATTAAAAATGTCGCTTTCCGAATTACATTTCGTATTTACCTTCGGCAAATCATAATTATAATTATTTACATCTAAATCACAATCTTGACGTAATTGACACGTCTTATCACTCACGTCAACATTACTTATCACTTCTGGCAAAACCGAGAAGCTATCTAAACTTTTTAATACGATTTTCAAAGGAGACTTTTCTTTCTTTGGTCCAATATCTGTCATGGACTTAAAAGAAGAAATTTTATTGTCAATTTCCACTTTTGACAACTCGAAATTACACTTTTCCAAAACATCTCGACCCAGAACCAAATATTTTTCAAGATCGTCTACAACCAGCAACTTCGAAGGATATTCCCTTCCATTAATCATTAACGACACTTTGGTGGACGACTGCACATTTATTGGCGTTGCACCCACTGTACGTAATGGAAAACTTGGAAAATCATCGATACGCAACTGCAACCTTTCCGCAAAATAACGAGAAATCACTGAAACTGTAGCATTAGTATCCACCAATGCCTCGCAACATACATCATTAATAAACACAGATATAAAAGGTGCCCTATCTACACTAGAACTATCAATTGTAGACAAATTTTCTACATGTTCAGCTGCGCTTTTCTGACAACCACGTTGAGGAGATCCCGACGAAGATCCACTACTATGTGCTCGTGAATACCCTTGACTTGGCGTATCCTGCTGCACAACTGGTGCTTGTGGCACTAAATATTCCGACTGCTTAGACTCGGGTCTAATTATTGGTGCAGAGACATCCTGTGTTTGCCAACAGTGAGAATGCTCCATATGACAGTATACTGGCAATTCAATATCTTGTCTACTTCCATTATAATTGTGATTAAATATGTCATCTACTTGGATAATTGTTTTCTTCAACTCCTCTTTCGATACATACAAATTACTAGCCAGCATCCATTTAAAATTGGGTATCAAAGATTTCAAGAAATGCTTAATAAACTGAACATCTTGAATATTCGCTTTCATCGCTAACTCATCTAAACTATAAAAATAACTTATCAGCGATTCATTAGGCCTCTGTCGCCTATAATAAAATTCACGGGCATAATCTATTTGTGAGGGAAATTCCTCTCTCAACTTCTGTGCAATCACATCATACGTCATGTATGAAGAAAAATACGTTTTGTACCATTGTAGAGCTGGCCCCTCCAAATACAATGCAAACACGTATCTCTTCTGCACATCAGACCAATTATTTAATATACTAATGGTCTCAAATTGGTTCAAAAACTCATCTACGTCGTTGAATCCATTAAACTTTTGAGTCGACATACCATACATATTTTCTTCGTGCACTTTTCACTTGTATCAATTATAAAACCATATTACATAAGTAAAAATATAAATTACGACCTTTTGTTACGCTTTCCTGGTGATTGTTTCGTACAAATATATAAAATTTTTTCCAACGGAGTTCTCTTCATTGGAACTTTTCCATAATTCGCAAGCTTGTGTTCACCATTTGAAAGCTTGAATCATATTATACTTCTCCCATTTTGTAAGCATTTTGTAAGCTTGAATCATATTATACTTCTCCCATTTTGTACCTCCACCAACTTGTAATAGGCGTTAGCTCGTGTTGCGTTGCGAGAGGTACTTTTAATAATATAAACTGGAATAATCCTTAAAAATATACTTTATTTCACTTTTTACATGCTTAGGGTTACAAATCAATAATCTTAATTGTCAAGATCTTCCATTCTTTTCTCTTAGCTCTTTTTCAGAGCATTCTAAATATGAATCTATTCACTCAGCCAGTGATTCTACTCATAGAGTACAGCCTAGTCTACAGTACCTATAATATTATAATAATAATGGAATTTCGCTCTCATTCCGATATCTGTAAGATCTTAATAACGATCCTGCACTTTAGATGGATTAGTATGGACTTTAACGTAATGGCAACACGCGTCTCAATTTTTACAGTTGGCGCGCTAAGTTAATATTAAGCAAACCTTACAAACAGTACATAACTTTGCAGAGGACTTCATATGGCGGCTTTCCAGTTAGGCATATATGCTCTGGGTCTACACAACTGCGTGAGCGCAAACTGGCTCAGTCGTACATACTCATCGCATGTCAGCTGGATTACAGGTAATATCAAACTTACAATTGTATGAAATTTTATATTATTTCATATTAATTATGATAACAATAATACGCGTTTATATCAGACAACAAATTCATAGGATTACAATAATGTTAAATTAGAATTAAATATTAAATATCACTTCTTACATACAAGAAATAGGTATAGGTACTTAAATATTAATAATTGTAATCCAATGTCGCAGTATGGACGAATCGCAACTACGAGCTGTACCAGCTATAAAGCTATTAGTACTATACAGCACTCTCTGTCTAAGAGAAGAAACCCTCTTTCTATGCACAGCAGCAAACCCGTCAATACGTGCTAACAAAAACATTTCAGATGCAGTACAGTATCTTGGCAATTTAAACATAGTTCTAATAATACATCATTATATTTAACGCGGCTGACATTGTACGCTTGTTTGGTACAGTTAACCCACAAACTATACGTATATAGTGTCTGACAGTAAGCCTTAAAGAGCGTTACCTTAACTTGATCTGAACAGAGTGCAAATCTCCTAGCCAACATATTACCACGCAATGCCCTCTTTTCTCGCTCAATATCATCGTTATCACTAAGGCTTTCAGTAACTGTATGACCAAGATAACGGAATTTGCCACCCTAACCAAACTACTACCATTCAGACACATATCAGGTACAAAATCTGGTCCTTTTTTATTCTTCCCTTACAATGATTATACGTATGATTATACCTCTAAGAAACTGAGTTTACAACATTAAAAAAAAAATTAGTCACTTTTATTCATTTTGTATGAAATTGACCAACTTCCGCTGTGGCGTTTTTTTTGTCCCATACAATGAAATGATCCCCTCACGAAACCGAGCCGATTAGCAGTAAAAAATTTTTGATCAATTTTATTCATTTTTATTTATATTACCAAAAAATTGACTATACCAAAATGGTTTTCACAAAACAAGACTTAAATGGTTCCTAAAACAATTTCCTTGTATCTTCTACGGTTTCGGATTAACCCATACTGTCCCATTAAAAAAACACTGTATTATGTAGGTTTAGTATGTACCTGTATTAAATATGTTTATATTATTTATTCTATACCATATAAATTAACTATTATAGTTTCTGTTGTTGTAGCCCCAACCAATTGTTTTTCTATGTTTGGCCCAATAGTCGACTGGTAGAGAATGCCTTATGGCATTAAGCCCGTCATTTGTACTTCAGTGTATTGTGTAATAAAGTTTAAATAAATAAAAAAATATATGTATTTCGGGTAACGACAGCTAAATTCTACAAATAACTAAATTATGAGAGATTATTACATGCTTTTGTATATTGGGTGAATAGAACTAATGTAATACAATCAGCGTTTTAAAAAAACCTATACAATGAAAGAAACTACTTTTCATTTCTTGTCCATTATGTAGCTTTGTGTTATGACCGCAGACGTAACACGTCTATTTGTCTCAATTTGGAATATTTTCGTACCACAGTATACTGTGTGCAATTTTGCTATTATACACGAGAATATTGTTTTAGGACAAGCAATGGATATCGGCGCACCGGCAATCTTATTCTTAATAGACGCTTGGGAAGGACATTTGACCCCACCTGAAGCTGCCAGCATTGCTGACAAGGTAAATTACTTTTGCATTATCACTCTCGTCCGTAATTCGGATCAAATGTTTTACTTTTTCCAATGGAGGCGTGATTTAACTAAATGAAATAATATTGTGATCGTGATACACCATTTCTAACCGACTTTAAAAAAGGAGGTGGTTCTCAATTCGTTTGCATTTTTTTTGTGTCTATGTTATGCGATTATTCCGACATCTGGGAACCGATTTCGATAATTTTTTGAAAATATTCCTCCTCGAAGTGTCACCCACTTTCCGTTAACCGATTTCAATAAAATTTGGCAAATACTCGTAGATGTAATTCCACAAACTTTTGAGGTCTGTTCTTTTATAAAGAAGTTATAATTATCTCTATGAAGTTGCTCTCACGCTGCCATTGTATTAATGTAGATTATGTGGTACAAATGTGGGCTCGTAGAGATCTGCCTTTGAAGTGCACTCCCTCCCTTCGCACAGGCGTCGTCGGGCCGAGACGTGCACACGGTGCGAGCCGCGGCGGAACTGGCGCTGTCGGTGCTGCCACATGCGCACGCGCTCAACTACAACGAGATCCAACGCGCCGTGCTGCAGTGCAAGGAACAGAGCGACGCCATGCTGGAACGCGCCTGCCTCACCGTAGAAGCCGCCGCCAAAGGTTTCTTCAGATCCGCACATAACGAGAATAGGCAATATGGTTGCGGTGCACTAACACTTGGCTTCGCGTTCTAACTCGCATGCTACTTTGCATTTTTTTCCTATTTTACAGGACCCGCTTTTCAATTAAAGTTTGCTTAAGTGTATTACTTTGAATCAAGAACGTTACATATCTCCAGAATGTACCGTAAATTTACTACGACGCGTGGTTTCCTATTAAATTTTAATTCGTTAGTGATTGGTAATTTGCACAAAAATGAAAACTTTTTAAATTACTCCCTATTGTACAAACTTACGTATTATGTGAAAAACAGACCTAAGTATAGAATACTCTAACCGAGAGGTGAAGACCAGGAGTCCTAAGATACAGGGTTTTCCTAGTGTAGGCTCCTGTCTCTGACATACATTAACTTGTTAATTCCTACTATAAATTAGTTTTTAATCGACTAAATAAACTAATATTTAATAGTTTAAATAAACTATTATTATTAATTTGGATTGGATATACTACAACAATCTTGACTTATGTACCGTTTCAAGAAGCGCTAAACCACATTGCTTATTCTTCATATTGCAGTCTGTTTGCCGATATAATAGTGAAAAGAGCGAACCTGCATAAACCACATTAGTACGGTCGATTAGGGTTCAAATCAATAATACAGTGAGACAACGCTATATACAACCGATACAATAGGCTCTTTAGTCTTCTTATCAACCTTGTGGACTCGGCAAACAGACATCCTCAATGTGAATTACGCGATAAAGTACTATTTCAATAATAAACACTAAAGCTCAACTTCCAGGTGGAGGCGTATATCCTGAGGTTCTTTATACGGTGGCGCGATACTGGCACGAGCTATACTTGCGACAGGCCAGCGAAGATACGGAACCACTATTAGATGAACCCCAGTACAGAGCGCCGCCCCCGTTGGCCGTACCCGTTCCGTACCCGTTACCATATCCATTTACGTACCATCCGTATCCGCCGCCCATTTATCAGCTGCAGGTTTGTATTATTCGGTTTTTTTAATGGTCTTTACCGATTTATTATTTTTTAGATCTTCACTGTTTATCGTGGTCACAAGAAAGTTCTGTCAGTAGATGCTGTCCTCACCATCATCATCAACTCATTAATGTCTTACTGCTGAGCACGTGTCTCCCAGAGAGGGTTTAAAATGCTGTCCGCTATGCGGTTTGGTGATTCTTAGCATTCTAAATAAATGAAAGGGCTACGAAAAAGATTATAGAAACATAGATTATTGCTGGTAGCTATTTTCTATTATCTATTTTCATACGATAGATGCATATCTTAAGTTCAAGACAATGAAAAGAAAAAAAACCATCAAATTATAATGAAGTCACCCAACTGAGCTACGAAACGAACCAGCAAACCTTACGAATTTTTACAAGAGAACGTCAGGCACGATATGCTGATGGTGCTGGTTCGAATCCAGCTAGAAGAATTTTTCTTAGTGTTCGATCTTTTTATTAATAATTAATAATGTAAAATTATGTAAAATGGAATGTCATGGTAGTAAAACATTTAGTATTCAGTCAATTGAAACTTATATTTTTAACCGACTTCAAAAAAGGAGGAGGTTCTCAATTCGAATGTATTTTTTGTGCGTATGTTACGCGATTACAAATTGCGAACCGATTTCGATAATTCTTTTTATGTTGGAAAGAGGGTACCTCAATATTGGTTCATAATCAAAATTTGAGAAAACCAGGAGATGAATCCGGTTTCGCGCACTTTCCAGTAACCGATTTCAATAAAACATGGCAAATAAATGTAATGCTACGAACCTTAGAGGTCGTTTTTTGTATAAAAAAAAATATCGACATGACGATTGTTTGAGGGTTATTACTATTATTATTATCAGGGTGGCTTCATTCGGGGCAAATGTAGCCCCTCATAACTGCGACGATCAAATGATCTATTGTGATCACCACCAATTACAGTTCGGAGCCAAGGCCGATAACATTGAAGAACTGAAGGACTTTCCTGGCTCCGACAGATTTAATGTCCTCTGGTTGTGACATGTGCCTTCCCAATATGGAGCTTCGTACTCCCGTCAGGGGGTACGAGAAGATGAGCAGGAGTTTCGCCGTGGCAGAATCTACACTCTCTATTCTCTCTGCCCAATATTTGGCATGTGCTTATTTGTAATACTCGACCGAATTACAAGACCATGTCAAGTGGACATAGTTATGCAAACAAGAACCGACACACACCTCGAATGAAATTGAGTTATGTATTTAGGTAGAACACCAGCCCGTGTCCTTTACCCGCTCACAAAAGATCCTGGCAATATACGAAGCCAAAACGGAGAAAATAAAAGTCCTGGGTACCAACCCTAAATAAGTAAATTTTTAATAGCTAAAAAGAACCATGCTGTTTAACTTCATATAATGTATTTTTTATAATATGCTAAATGGATCCATGTCACATGTACTGAAGTACTGTAGATCTTTAGCGTTTTCATTATGAAAATTAGAACATGGTTCTCATTAACGAAATAAAAAGATACATAATGTAATATTTATTGCTATTATAATATAATAGTTTCCCTATATCATTCTCAATGCTACACATAACTCACTGTCTCCAATAACTTACCTATTTATTTCTTCACACTGTTTTTACAAAAATCTAATTATCTCGAAAGTGACATTTTGTGGGTTGGTTCTAGTTTGCATAACTATATCCATTAGTATGAAGCTTCATTCGCACCATGCATTTTTTAATTTGGCCGAGTGTTACTTATTTGACTATAATTGTTTCGGACGGATTGCGGACTAAGGACGGAAGTAAACCCCCTGTTAAGACTCTAGTGAGCATTCTGATGCCATTCCTGTCCAATGTTCGAGGGTTAAGGTATATTATGCGTCCGCAGAGCCCTTACGAGCTGCAGTACGGCGGCGCTGGCGGCGCCCAGTACGCGCTGCCGCCGTACTTCGTGCGAGGACTAGTGGCCGGGCCGCACCCGCCGCACGCGCCGCCGCACGCACCTCACCCACACGCGCCGCATCCGCAACACCCGCAGCCAATGGTCAATGTGAGTCTATTTCTTTGCTGCGCCAACTTTTTGGGTATAATATCGACGATCGGCGGAGTGAAGCATATAAGTCAAAAAAGTGCTTCATGTTAATGTATAATTATATATTTTTTTGTGTTGTTTATAGTGTTTGTTTATTTGGAACATGTGAAAAAATTGAAAAAGACGCCTCTAGAATAAAGTTACAAATTTATGAACTAACAAATGAATTTGACTTATGGGCCTTAGCCGGTTGATGTATTAATTTTAAATGAATGGTGTTGAAATTTTGACTTACGTGTTTTAGTCTACCGACCCTAGATATAGCGTTACGTGTAATAGTCGTCGCCACGCCTAAGATTCAATCATAACGTAAATTACATATGCGACTTTCTTTCTACCACAGCTGCCTTTCAATACAATATATTTCTTCGCGTACACTTCATCGCGTACACTCCATTCTACTTCATGGGTCGTAATAGGTCCTTGACCTCATATCGATCCTCTGGATCTGAACTAGTGGGATCCTCCGATCACTATGATGGGCCTCCACACACACCCCTACAGCCCTTCCTCTGCCACTGCTTCGTGCCCCCTTATACCTTTAGTACAAGTGGCGGGTGTCATTCTAATTCTGTTACTGATTCGTCATACTCTATCGTCAGGCTATCTAGTCAACAAATACTGTATCTAAGTTAGTAATAAACATGGTGCAAACTTACCAACTGTAATGGCGACCAACCAGCGCACTTCCAGCAGACGCCTGATATCTGACCTTCAGGATTTGAGATGCCTGGACTGCCGTGTTAGTTCCCTACTCTTAGGTATCATAATAGACTAAATTTATTATTGCCTGATATTATAAAACTAATACTAAATCGCGACATAATTCGCGACAATACTATCTTGTGTTATTAGTATGGAGGTAATCACAAACGTGGTGAAAATTGGCTTTTATTGGCTGTAAAAAAACATTCTAAAATATTATCACTGCACGATGATAACGTTGCTATCTAGCAAAAATCAAATAGTGATTTCACAGAAACACGAAGATTACGAGAGAGCCCGGTTTCTTAAACAAGTTCCTGGTAGCCTACCATAACCTTTCCAAAAACAATCTTATTTCAATGTAAGCTTAAAGTAAGCTTGTTATAATATTACTCATATTCGTACCATGACAAACTTGTCTACCAAAAAATGTATTATTGCTAAAATGACTGAAAGAACGAATGATTTCCCAATATTGTCTATTCCTTACTAAAAACAGGAAAGAAATAACGCAATATGAACTGTATAATGCCGTCTCTTTCTTTTTTGATGTTCCGAATCGTGTTATCGTAGTATAATGTTAAAGTACTTAATGTTATTTGCATTCAGAGAATTTTAACTTGCCAAAAAGAGAAAAGTATGTAATAATGAAATCTATTAAAATTACGTTGTTTTCAATTATTATTCCGCATTTTCACGAAGAAAAATAAATAAAACAAGCTGAGTCACGTTGTGAATTCGGAACTATAGTCTAGTGTCAACTGTTAGTTTCGCCAAGGAGGAGCATATAGATGGCGCTGCCATAATTTTACGAAATAAACATCGCGTATTTTTATTTTACGAGAAGTTATTTCCTATGTGTTATTAAATAAAAAATAAACAAGATATTGAAAGGATATATGTAAATAAATAAGTTCAACTTAACTTTTAATCATTACAAATCAGTATTAAGGCAATAAAATTGAAAATAATATTGTTTCCATTGCATCCGTGTAAATATTTTAAGATTGCTAAATTTGACATAAGAGCAATATTACTTTAATGTCAAAGTCGCGTCATGGTACGAACTGAGTGAATGAATAGTCACAAAGCTGCCAATAAAACATCATAGTTTTAACGTTACAATAAGCTTACTTTAAGCGCGTTATTGTACGTAATGTCAAAGTAAGGTTAAAGTAATATTGTTTTAAGAGGTTGTGGTAGGCCCCCTGAAAACGGCAAGACGCATTAACTGCGTTACTAGAAGGTTATATAAGCAACAAAAGTTTAGTAGCAGTAGAGCTCCTTGTGAAAGAGTTCGTCCAGGGAAGTACTGCCTCCTTACTTATTTCTGCCACCAAGCAGTAATGTGAACATTACTGCGTTCCGGTTTGTAAGAGTTAGGGTGCTGGTGAAATTACAGGCACAAGGGACTTGTCAATTTATATCTAGGGGTGACGCGCGTAGTGGCAGTGCCCCTAAGATCTTTGCGTTATAAAGCTCTTCAGTGGCACTGCAACTGTTATGGGTGGTGTCGCTTACCACCAGGCGCACGACTTGTTCGTCCCGTCACTTGATATAATAAAAATTGTTATAAAATGCTGAATAGAATATTGAGGACTATCAGAATGCAACTAATTATGCGAAAATTATTCACGTTTACAATTAAAAAAAAAAATGTTATTATATATTATTATAGCCTTTTCAACTAAAAATACAACATTGTTTTGTTCAATTTGTCACCATGCCGAAGTTTCGTCCATAATTAATCATACTCTGTTCTTTTTTAACACAACAGTTTTGACAGAGTACTAATAATTTCTTCTCATATACATCTGCTAACATTTATTTTTACTTAGGATCACTATCATTGTGTTAATCGGCCCTCGACCTCGTATCGGTTAGTAATTCGGTCTTAGTTTTAACTAACAAGGATCTCTGATCTCAATCATGGACGGGAGTCACACACTCTTCTACAATCTATTCTCCTTCCTATGATACCCCCGCGTACCGTCTGTGCAAGCGGCTTCTGTACTCTTAAATCTATTTACTGACTCGTTGTTCTCAATTTGGGCTATATTGAGAACCAAATAAAAATTAAATGATAAAGGTTGTGTGAACGGTAATCACGTTTTTTGGACATCATAACTGTTTTGGTTTGTCAAAGCTAATATTACTAAAGTTATACCAAATGGCCAGTTAATTTGCGACACGACTACCTCAAGTTCTCGGTTAGACTTACGTGTAAATAATTATATAATAATAATTCTTTATTTCAGAAAAAGTTTCCATACTTTATTAGTAAGACTTAGCAACTATGTTAGTACTTATTTCAATTAACACGAGGACATGTAAAACGAGTGTATGATCCTCGTATGCGTAAAGCGTTGAGTGTCGGTAATTTTAATTCGTCCTTTGTTAGCCACAAAATACATTTCCAACCACATAAGACGACCAGGTTACCGCTGCCGATATCAAACTCGCCGATTTATCGCACTGACATTGTTCCGACGCTGCTTAAAACTCCTTGTCAATCACACCAAACACAGTCCCGGGTACACAATTTATTTCTGCTCGCGAAATTACAATTCCCAGTTCCAAGGATTGGGACGAGCCACTGCAATATTTGTGAAATAAATCTTCTATCCGTAATCAACGTTTATTTTAGAGAGATCGGCCAATACGTGTGTACCCACTAATGACTATTATAAATTGACTTACGTGTCCACGGCAGCTCCCCGCACCGATCCCGCCGCCGCTACCAGCGCCGCACGGCCCCGTGGCGGGCGTGGCGGGAGTACCCCCCGGCGTGGGCGTGGGCGTGGGCGTGGGCGTAGGCGTGGGAGTGGGCGCGGTGGGGTCCATGGGCGGCCTGCCGCCGGCTGCGGCCGCGCCGCAACTGCCGCAGGCGCAGCTGCGGCGTTTGCTAGCCGCCTACCGCGTCGGTATGCTAGCACTCGAGACGCAAGCCAGAAGAGTGCACGACGATCGCCCTCAAAATAAATTCGGGAGGTTTGTAACACTTTACTTCGCTCGATTACTTACAAGTAAACTGTTTAAATTCACTAAATCCGGTAATATTGCACCCTTCGCTAGTGCTTCTGGTCAATCCAATAAATACTAAATGTTCTGCAATGTTATCTTATGGCACATTATCATATTCACAGGAATCCCCCGTATGGCGAGCACGTGAAATGGCTCCTACGAGTATCGAAGCGACTAGGTGCGCAGTATCTGCATCAATTCTGCGTATGCGCAGTCAACTCTGTCGTCTCCCCGTTCGTACTGTACGAGCTGTGCGTAGAATCAGCGCACTGGTTGGCGAGGGGCGGACCGCATCATCTCGTTATGCAGCACTTACGTGGCACTCTAGCGCCACTTGTGCAGAAGTGCCAACAGATGTGAGTATACCCATATCGACGACGGTTATCACGATTAAACCTTTTTAAAACTTTCGCATGAAAAGTCGTCTTGCTAACGTTAAGCAAAAATAAGGAAATTTTACCGTTTCAACATGTTCTGACAGGTACATCCAATGCATTCATCAGAAGTTGTACCACTTAACAACAGTGGAGTATGAGGAATTCGTAAGCATCGTACTGTCAGCCCGCACGGCGTTCCAGCTCACGCCTGAGGGAAACACGCAGTTCAAAGAGTGGCTCGCCAGTCTGCGCAGGTATTTCGATAATCAAAATAATTTAATCTCTGAGCTATGCGTCGTCGCAATAGAGGACTGTTTTAAACGTGCAGGGTATAATGTTAATGCGTCGTCGTAAGCATAAACCGATAAACGGAGTAGATATATTTGATTGTAATGTAATAAATTCGATAAGTACGAGATATGTAAATAAATGTTTTCATATTGCGTCGACTATGCTATTTCCAGTGTTTCGCATGCAAACAAATTTCAGGTCAAAATCTTGCAAAAAGGACCTGTGGACCCAACTGAATGCAGCGCTGCAGACGAACGGCAAATGACGTCGGCAGCCGATAGTTTGTATGTTGCGGTGCGCCGCGCGCAAACTGTCACAACATAGGCGATGGCCTCGCTACCGGCTCCTTTACCACCTGTCGCTCTAATACGTCTCTCGTGTTATTTGTAATTCGAGCCCTGACGCCTAAATCCAACGCCTTTATGTCGATGTTTACACCACGTACCAAGATTGACTTGTGACCTCATAATACGTCTCTCACATTGGTACTTAAAGTTTGCAACAGGCGAAATACTGGATTTGGTGTCACCATATTTGAATATGTGGACGAATGTCCAACGGACATATTAGAAGGCTATTGGTCATTTCGTCTGTTTCGCTTTATTTTGTGAGATTGAAAGGTGGATACGGTTCCAAATTAATATTCTCCGGGTAAAAAAAGTTTTACCTGTGTTAGTGCTCGAATTTTAATGTTAAAACAGTCGTAAACATTGATCTTTTCAAAATATATAACACGTTCGTTAAAATGTATGGTAAAGGTTTAAATTACAAATGACACCTTTATCCCAATTCTGCTTAAATTTAATGTAATCCGTTTAGTAATAATTTTGACGCTCGATTTAGAGGGTAAAAAGATCTCAGTATAAAAATCGAACAGTTGTATTTTTGATAGCTGAAAATGTTGCTAACTCCTGTGGAATATGTCGTGAAATAATCCTTTCAAGCGGACTTTAGGATGTTGGCGATCCTGTTTCTTCTTTCAAAATATTGTTATCTAGTAGACGTCAAACTACGCATCATTTCTCTTTACGAACGTCTATTATCGCCCTGTTTGCCATTGAGAGAAGGGTGTGGAAGCTCATTTAATGGTTGTGCCTGAATAGTCTGAGTGACTCGGTTGTAATCAAATGTATTGTAGACAGCTAAATAAGAAATGCATAGAGACAGTGCTTAAAGAGGAGTTTAGCAACATTTCGCTTGTTTTCATTTTGACGTAGATGTTGACGCGGACATTGCACTGTACTTTATTTTTCAAGGTTAAGCGCTTTAGCAACGAAAACTTTTAGTCTTGGTCTGAATCGACTTTATAAAGTCACACTGACTTAAAATCTGCTTAAATTGTCATATAGAAATGCTCTTATTATAAAAGCGCACGATGTGAAATCGTTGGTTTCACTAGTGTAATAAAGCTGAAATGGACTCCTATAAATAAATTAACATGTTTTCACATTTCCTTCTAAACCTTGACACAGTGCAGTGTAAGCAATAACATCTCATTTCTTTATTCACAATATTCGTGGACTTCGAAATAAAGCACAATTCGGATATAGTACAATCTGTTTCAAATCAAATTGCGATGAATGCAAATAGTTTTAAAAATGAAATACATATAAATCAGATAACGTTAAAAAATTTGTTGCACAGTCTTTGAAATATCGCACTATTAAATGCTTTAAAATTGATACTATATAACGCCATTATATAATTATTGTTAATATTCAACGCAATTTGGTTTGAAGTGGATTTAAAGGGCAATCGAGAGCCCTACATGTGGCTTATTACTAAAAAAAATTGTGACAAGTAGAAACAAGAAACTTGTATTTTAGTTTTTCGCGTACACCATCTGTTGGTCAACATGTAGAACAAACGAATGTCCTTCCATCTGTCGCTTCTCACCTTCGAATGCTTACGATGACAATTTGACATGTTGATTGTTAACTAGTCAAAGGTTTTGAAACTCATTGGGTCGTCCAGTGACGCTTCATAACTATAGCTCATTTTAGATTCTTTGTTAAATTTAGAACTATTGATTTTAATATCTTTCACCGTAACAAAGGGTAGTTACGAAATGTTGTTTATTTATAAATATTATTTTTTGTAATAGAGAAATAAAAAATACGCAAATTAACGAAACATTAAGAGTTTTCAAGACACAAATAACGTAATTCGGGGGAGAATTCCGAGATTTTAAATTGCATTGATATTTATGAACCCTTTATTAATAGTAAAAGATATTAAATGACAAATTAATATAGAATGTTAATCAACAACCGATTCTTTTCTTTCCGTTGTTTTGACATGCGATTTTCGATGTTAAGTTTCTGTTTTGGTTAACATTTTCAAGTTATATTTAGTTAATTCTGCGTGTTTGTAGGCGACGTAAGTTTCTTAGAATGTATAAAATGAAAATGTCCGATATTCGAGACCGTAAACAATTGTTGGTCTACGTAAGGTTTTCAATACATAATGAAAGATCAGAGAGATAAGGGTATATATTTTCTAAAGTAAATTAATAATTTTTGTGTATATATTTTCAGTAATACAGTCACTATTTATAACTGCAGATTTGCACGCTTTATTGAGGTCATAAGGGGGCAATTACAAGTAATAATTTTGACAGTTTTGTATAGGTCACTGTGGCCCACTGTATACCATCGTCGCCTACTAAGAACGCACCGATCAGTGTCTTGGCGAATTGTTTTAAAAGATCTCTTTCGTATGTTTTGAGTAGTTTAGAACATCCATCAACATTTCTATCACTTCATGCTTTTTTAGTATATTAGTAGTTTTATTTTCGTATTATTAATAAAGCTTCTTCTTCTGGAGCTGGAATGAATGATAAAATTTGAAGGTTAAGATGCGTTTTTAGGTTTAAAGTTCGAGTAAGTTACATCTTGGGCTCCCGTGTTAGAGCCCTGCTAGTTTTATTTCGAACTGCGCGACTTATAGAAATCGTTTCTCAGACGTTTCGTTAATAAAAAGGGATAAAGCTATACTGCCCTTGTAACGAAAAAGGCACAACTATGCGTACTTTACACAGCAGTTGTGCCTTTCTTCGTATAGAAATGAAACCTCGGTTTTTATATATTTGTCTCTTTCTATTATCCAAAGAAAATACAGCGTCTATACAGTGTTAATAGTGTCAATATGATGTATTCATCAATTTTAAATCAAAAAGTTAATGTTGACACGAAATGTAGGAAATTCAAAATTGTTAACAATAGTCCATTCGAGATTTGACTTACGATGTCCCATGTTACCTAAATAGTGTCGTTAGATCACAGAATATTAGGCAGAATATAGTATGATGGCCGTCTATACACTATTTTTGATATTCTCTTGTCGAAATTTGCTGTTTCATGAACGCAGTGCAAAGTTAGTAAGAATATGTATTGTCGTGCGTTCGATTAACTATAGTACTTTATTTACACGTTTATATTATTATATTGTAATGCAAAATAGCGTCTTGAGAGCCTTCGGAATAAATATATAATGTATTCGACGGTGGTAGCGGCGACAAATACGTTGTGACGTCATTCCGATGTTATAGTAATGAAAAAAAAAAATTTTTTTAGTTATCAATGGATTACAGTGTACAAACATTGTAATTACTGAGTAAGTATTTTGGTGTCAAGAGTATTATTGTAGAGTATTTAAATGTGATTTTTTTTAAATTCAGAGTGTCGTAACGTTTACTCTGTAAATATTGTTGTTATAGCTAAATTTTTAATCGATATGTAGCTTCAGTATTCAGTATCATCTTGATAATTAAAAAAAAGGCTGAAACGCTGAACAAAATAATAGCATTATTAAAACTCGTTTTAGCATCTATATACCATAACAATTTGTACAAATGATAAACAAATACAATAATGTGTTACAACGAATTGTAATTTTTCATACACGTGCGTTTCATGTTAACATACATGTTTCTGTTCCATTACGGTTAGTCTCTATTATATCCTAGTACACGGCCATGTATATATGTGCTGTTTGTTGTAGCCCTACGGGAATGTTACCTTCTCTTTTTAGCACAATGAGACAGAAAAAGACAAGAGTTATATAGTTATTGTGGCCTGGTACTCAACATCGGTTTGACGAATTTGTTGTCGACCCAGCCGTCTCGTAGTTTTAGTTCTATATCTTTATAAATTAGATGTTTATGTGCATTCATTAAAAGCATGAATGCCCAAGCATTCATTAGATAGTAAATTGTTAGATTGCTAGTTAGTATAAATTGACGTTTGTAACCGTTGGAACGCGAATTCGTGGGATGGTAACGCGTGGGCGACTATTCTTCTCGGCATCGTAAATTTTGGTGTAAACGTCACGTCTTTGAGATAGTTAAAAATGCACTTTATAAAATGTGAAAGTGAAATTCGTACATCGCGAATCTAGTTGAATGTTCAACTAGAACTCGGTACTTGAATTTTTCAATAGTCATTCTGTGCACTTATGTACTTACTCGCTTAAAATCAAGTGGCGTTATGTAAAACATAACATCGTTTTAATTACAGATTTGCAAGAACAAACATCGTGCAAATATATTGTTCTTGATGTACGCTGTTCACAAACAATATTCATACAAATTTAAGACCTGCAAGTATGGTATAGAGCGTATAGATTAAAAGAATAACGCTGATTTTAAAGCAAAAGTATAATTTCATACTGACTTGCCGTCCATAGTTGTTTTGCAATCTTAGAATTTTTTTTACCTCATTTTGCTTTATAGGTTCTTTTTTTTTTGAAAATAAACCAGTTGGATATCATTTAGCAATATTTTTTTTTACGATAATGGTTTTGTTTAACATCAAAAGATATTGCTTTGATATTTCGTCTCAAATAACTATTTTTACACGTTATAGCCTATTTAAAAAAAAAGATAAAATTATATCGGTAGTTTCGTAATTAGACGGTTAGTTCGTGGCATATTTTAATTAGTCCTATAATGCGTTGATGGACTTGTAATTGAGTGGCGGAGTATGTTTAGGCGATTCGTAATGTGGATTTCCGTTTGCGGCCTGCCTCTTAACACATTGTTCACATATCGTTTGGGCTTGGATAATAGTTAAGCGTTGTGCACCACTTACTTTATATCGTAATGTTTTTTTATAAAGTATGATTCCAGCTTGGAAAAAGAGCACTGTATCCAGCATATTTTTTCTACATCACAAACGTATTTGCTTCTCCATAGTCACGTGTTAAACGAGGCACTTACTATTCTGCGTGATATCCGAGAAAGGTAGACACAGATATGCGACGAAGTGAGTAAGGAAATATAGTTCCTGTTCATTTTGCGCGTATCATATTTCTCTTCCAGATATCGCGCTGAACAAGGATGTTACGAGTTAGCAAGTATAAGACTTGAGCACGTTGTGGATTGGACATACAGTAAAGGCTGTAATAGCGTAACTTTGTAGTACTTAATGCGGTTCGGTTCTTAATTAAATAGGTCGGCGGAAGGCGTACGAGCCATCAGTGCCTATATCTGATAGAACAAATTCTTAATATCCCTTCCTTTTTAGATGTTGTGAACTTTTGTATGTCTTCTCCACATTTCGTCTTTCTGTGACCTTTTAAATTGTAAGACTTTTAGATTACGTTGTATGCTCAGAAGAATGCGTTGTTAATTTGTAGATCAGGGGATCCATTTTCGATACATTGGGAGTATCGTCTATACGTAATACATACCTATTTGTTTCTTGCTCCCGTTGCAGAGTAAGCGGCAAATACGTATGACGTCAAACTGATGAACATAAAGTGTCTGTTTGAATCAAAAATTGCTCCCCAGGTTGTCATGTACTGACTACGTTTGTCTTGTAATACTCATGGCAATGCATGTTAGACACTATACGTCGCATCACAATTAGTTAGAGGTATCAAGTCTTATTTAGTTCTAAATCGATGATGCATAATTATTTTATACATCTGGATTTGTAGTTTAATTATACACTTTGTAAGTGTGGTGTATCCGCCTATTAAAGTATATAAACGTACAGAGTTCGAATGGCTAACTTATTAGAGTACGTAATAAATAAATTTATATAATGATACTCTTTGTTCATATCGCATATTGTCATTTGCAATTTACTTTCAAGGTGGTACAGTGAAATACAAATGTATAATCAAATAATCAATTTTACCATTGTTTAATTTGTTTGAGATAAGAACAATTTTTTGTGCTCA